GGGGGGTCTAGGCCCAAAACGTCAGCCTTCCTGCTCCTCTGATGCTGCTTGGCCTGCTGTGTTCATCCAGCTCTACAGCTTGTTATCTCAGATTCTCCAGCATCTGCAGTTCCTACTATCTCAGTCTCAATAGTGCCAGTGTTTCGAAGGATACTCGACCACGTTTGCCAGCAGACCCATATGGAAGGCCCCATGGATCCTTGATCTGGGTCCGCCTGGAATCCTGTGAACTTTTCTGCTCCCCTTGTCTAAAGAAAGATACACTGGCATTGGAGGCAGTCCAGAGAAGGTTCACTTGGTTGATATTGGGTATGGAGGGTTATTATGAGGAGGGTTTGAGTAGGTTGGGGATCTACTCATTGGAGTTTAAAAGAATGAGAGGAGGCTTTATTGAAACATTTGGAATTATTAGGGGCCTTGACAGGGTAGATGTGGAGACTTTTCTTTTCCCCTTGTAGGAGAGTCAAGGACCAGGGAGCATAATCTCAGAGTAAGGGGTAGACTTTTTTATAACAGAGATGAAGAGGATTTGTTTTCTCTCAAAGGGTGGTGAATCTGTGGAATTCTTTCCCGTAGGGTCTGGGTCATTAATTTAATTCAAGGCTGAGATGGTCACATTTTAATCAGTAAGGGAATCGAGGCAGGAAAGTGGAGTTGACAATTATCCAATCAGATATGATCTCATTGACTGACAGAGCAGACTTAATGGGCTGAATGGTCTATGTCTGCTCCTACATCATATGGTCTTATGACTTTATTAGCAGGTAGGTCTTGGGGTGTTGACCAAGCATTTTTTCGCAACTCGTAGGAATATAGGAATAGGAGTCGGCCATTCAGCCCCTTGAGCCTGTTCCATCAATCACTGAACTCATGGCTGATCTGTGGCCTAACTCAATATAGTGGCCTTTGCCCCATATCTTTTTAATGTCTTCGTTTAACAAAAATTCATCTCGCTCAGATTTAAAATGAACATCTGATCCAGCATCTACTGCCATTTGTTTATGGAAGTGCTTCCCACCATCTCTCTTGAATGGTCTGGGACATAATTTTTACACTGTACCACCTACTTCTGGAATCTAGAATCTCCAACCAGTGGAAATCAATCATCTTTATCTACCCTGTCTTTTCCTGTTAATATCTTGAAGACGTCAATCAAGTCACCACTTAACCTTCTGAATTCTAGAGAAAACAGGCTTAATCTCCCCTCTAACGTAACCCCAGAAGTCCAGGTACCATTCTTGTAAACCTACATTGTACTCTCTCCAAGGTCTATATGCCCTTCCTAAGGTGTGGTGGCCAGATCTTCTCACAGTACTTCAAGTGATATCTAACCAGGGTGTTGTATAACTGCAGCATGATGTCTGCATCCTTGTACTTCTGTCCTCTAGATAAAAAGACCAGTATTCCATTAGCTTTCTTGATTATTTTCTCAATCTGTTCATGACATTTGAAAAGTCTATACACTGGAACCCCCACTTCTGTTTAGACATTCACTGTACTTAACTTTTAATCATCTGGAAGATACCCTTTTTCAGTCCAAAATAGATAAGCTCACACTTACCCACATTGAAATCCATCTGCCAGTTTTTCCCATGCGCGTCATCTTTCAATATCCCTTCATAATTTTATGCAATTGTCTGCACCGACTACAATGTCACCCAACTTTGTGTCATTAGCAAATTTGGATATATGATTTTTTAGGCCATTATCCAACTCATTAATAAATACTCAGGGAGGGTTTTGGGGATGGGGAGTGGTGAGATTTCCAGAAAGGTGGCTGGAAAGGAGGGATGGGCTGGAGTTGGAAGGTGCTATGTCCTCAGAGGTAGGGTGGAGGGCGGGGCATGTTGGGGTGGTACCCCTGATGGGCAAAGAGCAGCCTTTAATTATAGCAATCCCTTTCACTCCTGCCGTTTTAAACACTTCAAAAAAATCATGAACCCCATTCATACGGCCTAACCAATTTCAATGGGATGACTGAGTGTTGATTTCAGGTTCATCAGTGTTTTAATCCACAAATTCATAACTTAAACTTTCGCAAAATCAAATACCAATCCACATGAGAGGGGAGGCTTGTATTGGCGTTGAGGCTTGTACACCCTTTTCATCACCTCCTGAAAAAACCTGTTCTGCTATATTTTGTTCCTCTTGTCATTTAAAGTATCAGTAGTCAAATATTATCACTGGAGCTTTCTGATCATGTGTAAAAACTTGTACTTTTGCAGCAACGCCTTATCCTGGTGGGTTCAAATGCTTTACGTGTGAAAATGCAGCAGATAATTACGAATGCAACCGCTGGGCCCCAGATATCTACTGCCCCAGAGGTATGTCCAGACGATAGTGAAGTTTGACCATCATACACACCAGCTCGGGACAGCTTAGTAAATTTCTTCTGCCGCACCTGTTTAGCCATGATTCATACCTTTGACACCCTACCCATTCCCACACATGCCGTCCACATCAATGTTATTACCGGACTGGGTACAACAAAAGAGATGAGGGGAAGAACAGAGCAGATTTTACCTGGCAAGGGAGCAATGGATACATTTAATTGCGTTCAGGGACAGGCACTAACTTCCTCAGAATGTTTGTCATATCAGGATTTCAACATCACCCAACCCTCCTGCAGGCTTTTGTGGGGTGGGATTGAAGTGAGCAGGAAAAGCCTTCTGCAGCTGTCAGATTTAATGGGGATTAAGAGGCATTTAATTTTATTTTTGCCCTCACTTTTACATTTCCAGGCTAAAGCGTTCAGAAAAGATTTACAAGGATGTTGCCAGGTTTGGAGAGTTTGAGCTATAGGGACAGGCTGAATAGGCTGGGACTACTTTCCCTGAAGGGTTGGAGGCCGAGGGGTGACCTTACAGAGGTTTATACAATCATGAGAGGCATGGATAGGTTGAATAGCCGAGGTCTTTCCCCTAGGATGGGGGAGTCCAAAACTAGAGGGCATAGGTTAAAAGGACCAAAGGGGTAACTTTTTCAGGCAGAGGATGGTACATGTATGGAACGAGCTTCCAGAGGAAGTGGTAGAGGCTGATACAGTTACAACATTTTAAAAGGCATCTGGATGGGTATATGAATAGGAAGGGCTTAGAGGGATATGGGCCAAATGTTGGCAAATGGACTAGATTAATTTAGGATATCCAGTCGACATGGACAATTAGGACCAAAGGGTCTGTTTGCATGCTGAACAACTCTGTGACCCTAAGGATCCTGATTCTTGGCCTGTCAGCAATTTGCTAGAGTTCCTAAAGTAAGAGCAAAAAGTAGAATTTCTTCAGTGAAACTGACCAAGTGGCAAGGCTTTGATCAGTTACATGGAGGAACTTCAGCCATGGCCAGGTAAGAGGCTGCTACTTAAAGGACATGTTCTGTCAGAATGCCAGAATTTTCTTGCTATGTCTTTGAAGGATCTTCACATGTCCAGCTGTTCCTGGATTGGAGAGAGCACACAACCTTTACACATGTCCTTGGCCACCTGAATCCTTGCTTGGTTGGAGAGAGGATAATTCCTCTTCTGGTCTTTGGGAGAGCTCATCCCACTGCAGCCTCTCAGACCCCAGAGCAAGGCCTCCAGGTAAGCGTGAAGGACCTAGCAAGCAGTCCTCTGAGATCTCCTGTCCATTCCTGTAGTTGCTGCACCCTCAAAAATCCAGGTATTGGTGAACCTATGTACGCAATGTCTTGGTTCCTTTTAATATGCAATTATTCCTTTGACAGAATGCATGCTATGTGCCACGCGCCTTCCCTAAGAGGTAAGGCATTCTGGAGACAGAATCCTAAAGCCATGGCTACGTTAAAGTTCATTAGTAAATCAGGTTTTCCTTTCCAAACTGGTCATACTTTTCCAGCAGAGCCTAAGTCTGGAAGATTCTGTCTACAGATTCCAAATTGGTGAAAACATTGTGGTGTGGATCTTACGTGAGTGAGTAGGCATAAAATGTTTAGGGAAACACCTGAAGCACATTCACTTACTAAAGCTTTGTTTACCATCTTGATCTAAACCATTGCCTGTTGCAGTAACTGGCAGATTCTTCTATTCACTGCATACAAACATGCTGACAATGTGCCAGAACACTCTCGTGACAACAGAGATGCATTCACACCTGATGTCACTTAGCAGCCTTGGCTTATCTTTTAGAAGAGGAATGTGACTGTTCTAACCGCCTCGGAATGTGATCATTCCACTACAGGGAAATTAAAAACAACAATTCATGGCAGTAAATTGCAGTTTAACAGTTCGATCTATGGCATACATTCCAGAACACATTTTAACCTGCTAACACATTAGGTGTGTGTGGCCTGCCATTTAACCCCTTGAACCTGTTCTGATATCCAATGAGATCATGGCTCAAATTGCAACCTAGCTCCATATTGACTGCCTGTGTCATGTTCCTTTAATACCTTTTGCTAACAAAAATCCAGTAAGCTCTGTTTTAAAGGTATCCATTGAATCCAACGTCAGTTTCCATTAATGAGAGTTTTAAGGTTCGATGGCCTATTGTGAGAAGGAGTGTAGCCCAATTTCACATTACTTCCCTTATTCATGTGAAATGATAATGAATTCTGTGCAGTTTTATAATTCTCCACACAGTCGTGCAGCGCTGTCCGATGTTTGATTTAGGCTCTTGGATTTTCTCATATTTTGCACATTCTTCCTTTCTAGGGACACAATACTGTTACACAAGGCATAAAATGAATGCAAAGGGTGAAAGTTCATTGGTCACGAAGCGATGCGTCACTCTGAAGGAGTGTTTATCTGTCGGATGCACACAACCTGATAATGAAGGAAATAAGGTAAATAGATGCTGTTCCACTTGCATTTGCCTCATTAACCGGTATTTTTGTCCTTTTTAATTGCAACGGGAATCAAGCGTGACCAAGCTCACTCCAATTTGAAGCCCAAGTTGTTTTAATTCCTGGGCTCCCTTTTAATATACAAGCTTGGTTTCATGCCCAAACCTTACGGGGCAAAGACAGGGAGTGTGCCAGGAGTCCATCACCAGGAGGTATGTGTGAATAGTCCCTGGCTGTCAGATAGAAGTGAATGGAGGGGTTAGTGTGCAACCTCAGTAAAAGGAGGGTAGTGTAAGTTCTTTGTGGGGCTGAGAGAAGCACTCCTCCACCTCAAGGACCTCATTGAAACCTTTCTCAAAAACAAATGATCTTACCTTTCAGCCCCTCTTCTGGGGCTACTACTGTTTTGGTGCCTTGTGTAAGGACCTCACAGCAACATGCTTGGAAAAAAGTGGAGTACCAGCAAGTATATAGCAAATGGACTGCAGAAAATATTTTACACCTCCTCTCTAATCCCCAGCCTCCTCCATGGGAATGGTATATTTAAATTGTGGCTGAAGTATTTTGTCTAATTTTTGACTGAGGTGTGTAGGTCAAGGCATAACCCAGTTAGAATTCAAAAGGACCTTGAACAATGACTGTCAGAATTACACGGGAAGCAAAAGACCAGCAATGTAAGATCTGTTTATGGATGTTTCGTTAGTACAGAAGTCAGAAGATAACTTTTCATCTACTGAGATTCCTTGAGGTTGTCAAGGCTATTACCCAAAAAGCAAGACCTCTTATTTTGTACAAACTCCTCTCCTGAATGGAATACTGTCCTGATAATTTAGTTAGTGATGCAGGAGGTCAAACACTCTCTCGAAAATATTCAGTAATGTTCACTGTCATCTTTTTCAGGTCTGCACCTCATGCTGTGAAGGGACAATCTGTAACCTCCCATTACCCAGAAACACCTCCCAGGCAGTATTTGCAACGCTATCTCCAATAAATCAAACATCTCGACATTCCTTTCAAACTGCATTGACTTTAACTTGCATCAGTCTTCTGTTCCTGCTTGTTGTATAGTTGGTGCTTTTTAATGCATTCATGTACAGCATTGTTTAACATAGTATTTATTTTTGTATGATACATTTATACAATGAAATGTCCTCTATCCTGTAAATAAGTTTAAAATCTTCTAAGTTTCTCACAGTAAATATAAATTGAACTGTTTTCCGTTGAAAATATATGCAACTTTAAGTTTGTGAAAAGATTTTGAAGGAGTGCAGGAATTATGAAAACTTGAAGTCGGTAACTGATATTTATAAGTTGTTTGTCACTTATTATCCATTATACAGGCATTAATATGGTCAAGAAATATTCAACACCTGAAGAATCTGCTAAATATCATCAACATAACATTTGCATTGGCTTCTAAAGAAACAAAGTGGATGGGAAGGAATATTGATTTTCTTAGCGTGATTCCATTTAAAAATGGCAGAAAGCAGTCAATGTGATAGTCACTTAAAATTAACAAATAATCAAACATCTTGAAGCATTTTCAAGATAGCATCATCAGATTCAGAGATTTCTTGAAATAAGTTTTCACTATTAAGTGTCCTGGGATGTTTTTGTCCATTGCAAATATTTTCTACAATTAGAAGTTCTTCCTGTTGGAACAAATGATACTATGCTGTTGTTTGACCGCAAACTGACTCATTTCCACATCTTTCAGCCATGATAGGAACATAATAGAAACTGGAATTGACCATTTGGCCCCTTGAGCCTATTCTGCCATCCAGTAAAATCATGGCTGATTTGCTTAGGAGGCTTTAACTCTACTTTCCAGCCTGCCCCTCGTAACCTTTGAATTTCTTGTAAATCAAAAAAAAATCTATCTAGCTCAGCCTTGAATATATTAAACGACCTGACCTCTATTGTTCTCTGGAGTAGAGAATGCTGAACATTAACATGCTCAGAAAATCAATATTCTTTTCCACCCACGTGCAACCTGATTCTCCTTTGACTGGAGAAGTGGCAAGTACCATAGTCTCAAGTTCCCTCTTGCCTATTGGGCTGTTTTAGGCAGTAGCAGAATTCTTTAGATTGGGAGCAAAATTTTTTTGGAAGAAGCTCTCCTTATTTCTGTATTAAATGGAAGACTCCTTATTTAAAATCTGTGGCCTTTTGGTTTCTAAATTCCCTCACAAAGGGAAATATCTTCTCAGTGTCTATCTGTCAAACCTCTTCTGAATCTTTCTGAGGAGGGATTTTCTGAGGAATGGTCCTGACCTGAAACATCCACTTTCCTGCTCTTCTGATGCTGCCTGGCCTGCTGCGTTCCTCTAGCTCCATACTGTGTTGTCTCCTCAGAATCTTATATGTTTCAGTAGGGCAAGCTTTTATTCCTCTAAACTCTGTTAAGTGTAGACTCAAATTGTCCAACCTTTCCCCATAGGTCCCCACCAGACCAAGCTAACATTATTACCCAGGACTGGAGTTTGTTTTGGAGATTTGCTCTTTTGTAGTGGAGAAGGGAAGAAGGAGAATGCAAAATAGAATTGTAGAATCCCTACAGTGTGGAAACAGGCTATTCTGCTCAACAAATCTGCACTGCCACACTGAACAGCATCCTATCCAGACGCATTTCCCTACCCTTGCATTTTCCCATGTCTAACCCACCTAAGCAAACATCCCTGGACGCTCTGAGCAATTTAACATGGCCAATCCATCTAACCTGCACATCTTTGGAGTGCGGGAGTAAGCCAGGGCACCCAGAGAAAACCCACGCAGACACAGGGAGAATGTGCAAACTCCACACAGACAGTCGCCCAAAGGTGGAATTGAACCCGGGTCCCTGGTGCTATGAGGCAGCAGTGCCAACCATTGAGCCACCATGCTGCCAGCTTAAGAGGTATTATTGGAAGCAGTAAATGGAAAATCTAAAGAGGCTTGCAGATCAACTTTTTATTGCTTTTAGCAACCAGTGTATAAGACAATATATGGCATTATCAATAAACATAAATAAACAAATTCATACTGCATATTTAATGACTTCACAATATCCAAAATGCAATGCAGTTAATGAGAACATTATTCTTGAAGTGTAGTAGTTCCTATTGTAATGTAGGACACACTGCTAATTTGTGCACAGGATGTTCTCACAAACAATAATGAAATAATGGCCAGATTATTTTATGTGTAGATGCTGGTTGAGTAATAAATGTTAGCCAGAGACTTGTAAAAGTCTGCTGCCCTTCAAAGAGTACCTTTTACATTTGTTTGGGAAGGCAGACTTCCCGTTTGAAAGGTGACATTCTGACAGTGCAGCACTCCCTCAGTACTGTACTGAAGTGCCATAATGATGGATTCAAGTCTGTGAAGAGGGTATTTGCATGGCATTGGGAGAAAGAGACAATGCAAGACCATAATGAAAAACAAGAAAGAAAAATGTGGGCCAACCAATATGCAGAATATTGCAAATGCTGAAATAAAAACAATAAAGGCTAGAACCAGCAGAATGTGTAAAACTCTGATAACCCTCCTGTGAAGAGCTTCGGAATATTTCACCACTTTGAAGGCACCATATATATATATATCTAGCTGTAGTTGATGTCAGAAATACTTGGGGAAACTTGTTGTGATATCATGGTTCAAATTTTCTAATAAGATTGTCATTCTAATTTAATAAAACACTGCCTCGTTGTTCTAGATTTTTCTCTTTCTGCTTTAGTTTGTTAAATACATGACGTGAAAATTTCTTTGTAAGCCAATTTGAAACTACACCTGCCAACCACATAATAGTAGAAGGGCAGAAAAAAAGATGTTAGAAATTCACAATGAAATATTACAGGCCTCCTTATATACTTAAAGTTTACATGTTTACCACAGCTGATATGGTTAGTTTATGCATTTTAAAACAGATCCAGACTTAGAGTGGGTGACATTCTAGTTTGATTCCAATAATTACACCCTCTCCTTAGGCACAAAAAGAAAACAGCAGTTTCTTTGAAACTATTTTCAACCACTAGCCTATTGGGAGAGCCACCTTGTCTTGCAATTAATTTCACCTCTATCTTCTGGATCAGAAGGTTAGAAAATCCATGCCATGTTTAGACTTGAACACAGACTGGCACTTGTAAAGCAATATTGATGTATCATGCTGCATTATTATCCAAGTTTTAATTTCTGCTTCAGAAGCTGAAAAGATGCTGAACTGAAGCAATTCTTGCATGTTCAGGTGGCCGATGGAAGATATTCTCCTGATAGGGTCATTATTCTCGAACGATAATATAGTGTGGGTCTTCTTCATCCCGATCCGTAAGTATCTGACTGTTCCTGTGCAGTAGCTGGGATTAGGAAACCAATTTATCATTGATGCAGAGATAGTAGGAACTGCAGATGCTGGAGAATCCGAGACAACAAGGTGCAGGGCTGGATGAACACAGCAGGCCAAGCAGCATCATAGGAGCAGAGAGGCTGACGTTTCGGGCCTAGACCCTTCATCAGAAAAGGGGGAGGGGAAGGGGGTTTTGAAATAAATAGGGAGAGAGTGGGAGGCGGATAGAAGAGGGATAGAGGAGAGGATAGGTGGAGAGGAAACAAACAGGTTGAAGAGGCGGGGATGGGGCCAGGAAAGGTGAGTGTAGGTAGGGAGTTAGGAAGGGGATAGGTCAGTCCAGGGAGGACGGACAGGTCAAGGGGGCGGGATGAGGTTGGTCGGTAGGAGATGGAGGTGCGGCTTGAGGTGGGAGGAGGGGATAGGTGGGAGGAAGAACAGGTTAGGGAGGCAGGGACGAGTTGGACTGGTTTTGGGATGCGGTGGGGGGAGGGGAGATTTTGAAACTTGTGAAATCCACATTGATACCATTGGGCTGCAGGGTTCCCAAGCGGAATATGAGTTGCTGTTCCTGCAACCTTCGGGTGGCATCGTTGTGGCACTGCAGGAGGCCCAGGATGGACATGTCGTCTGAGGAATGGGAGGGGGAGTTGAAATGGTTCGCGACTGGGAGGTGCAGTTGTTTGTTGCGAACCGAGCGTAGGTGTTCTGCAAAGCGGTCCCCGAGTCTCCGCTTGGTTTCCCCGATGTAGAGGAAGCCACACCGGGTACAGCGGATGCAGTATACCACATTGGCAGATGTGCAGGTGAACATCTGCTTGATGTGGAAAGTCTTCTTGGGGCCTGGGATGGGGGTGAGGGAGGAGGTATGGGGGCAGGTGTAGCACTTCCTGCGGTTGCAGGGAAAAGTGCCGGGTGTGGTGGAGCTGGAGGGGAGT